ATAACAATAATAACAATTAACAATATTAACAATATTATACTATTATTAATAATAACACAACAAGAAAGACTTCAGTTAATGAAAACAATATCAGTACACTGAGACTGCCAGAAAGGTCGCCATCCAACCAATTAAGGGAGGTGACCCCACAGGTGAGTGGTGGATGGGCGAGGAAGGTGCGAAGTAATTACAATTGGACACAAATACCGACTCCCCGGGTCTCGTTTATTGCCCACCGTCCCTCTCCCAACTGGTCCAGTTCCCGAGGCGAGGTCTAAATGATTGTTCCATGTAGGTGGCAGTGGGTGACGGATCTACTGTGGAGATCGACTGTATTGGTGGATCTCCATCTCCACTTCCCCATAGCTATTCCCGTCACATTGGTTTGTGAATGTAAATAGAGAAAAGCTGTAAGCAGTTCGGCGTAAAATTCAGTGCAAGCAATGCGATTTCTGCAGAACGCAACGTCACAAAAGACTTGACGTCTTTTTTGAAAAGTGCTAGTGCTTTTCTAATTTTCCCTCAGCCACCTTCTGTTTCTCGAATAAAAAGGAATTCTCAGAGCTTCTTTATCAGTCTAGCAGAGGGCTTCAAGAGCTCTTATGTAACAGGGGTGTGGTTCGATTCACGCGCCAATATAATTAGGTCATCGAACAAAACACGCTAAAACATCATGCCTACCATCATAATGGAGGAAATAAGAACTTATAGGTAGAATAAGTAAAGAAATGACCACCTATGCACGTTTACAGAAGGATTGCGTTCTCAAGGATCAAAAAATTTGAAGTTTTTCTTATTTTGAACGTTTGACAAGTAAATTGACGAACTATGGTGTGAATTCCTAATCACGAAGGGGCTTCATTGCCGTAGTAAAGATATTTCTCTAACTCATAGTGAAGCCGTGGACTACTGCAAATTTATTTGGTCCATCTCAACAGGAAAGTACTGAAACAATGCTGCGTGCGCGAAGAGCTCTAATGGGGTCACGCGTGAATCGCGCGCCCCCCATGTAACAGACCCCTTTAGTTAACGAGAATACATAAATGCTCTTGAAAGCCTCACTCAATCACTTAGCTGGCTATTAGCTAGTATTTCTCTCCAGCTTATTTCTGTAACGGTTGCGAGTATGTTCAGACTGATATAATGTTTTTTAGAAGAGCAGAAGCAAGTGATTCGTTGGAAATTTCCTCAGCGAGGAAAATGACTAGGTTTTCCTCGGCCATTGTTCGAGTTGTATCAATTGACGCCATGGATACTATCATCACAACGAAGGAACCCATCAGTAATGTCTATACTCGTGTTGCTGGCGAGTTTGGTTTCGTCGTAAACTCTTCCGATATTGCTTCTGCATTTCCTGGCCACATGAAGAAGTTATTCAATAGTCATCCCTGCTTTGGATATAATTCAATAGGATCTTCTGAATGGTGGAGAAGGCTGGTGCAAGGCTGTCTGCAAGAGGTATTTCTATATTCGAGAGTAAATACGGTATCAGAAAAGAACACAAATGATCTGCTTGATAATTAAGCTTTTAACGACTTTAAAGTCTCTTTGATAATTTTCCACATATTCTTACAAAGATAGTGTTTCTTCTAGGTTTGCCTACAAAGGTTTGGTGGCTTCAATGTGGTTCACGTTAATGATTCTTCTTATTCTTATGGGGAATGAAACATTATGAAGCACTGGTTGTCGTCGCTCTCGTGAGCTGGTCAAATGGCAGTGATTGATGCGTGAGCTGCTTGAATTTGGTTAGTTTCAAGCAAAAATCGAAATCTTTTTTTTTCTGCCTCTTGTCTAAATGAAAACGTATTTGCTAGAAACTGATCAAATTGGATGAGTTCGCGAGCGAGCTGTTAAAACGGTTTTTCCTAATGGGTTTCCATTACTTTGAGATCCTGAAAAGTTACCATAACTAGGTAGGCTTGAGTAGGGTCTTCGACTACACAGACTTTTATAAAAAAAATCGATTGCCGTATTCCAATCTCGCCAGCAAGCTTGACGCAACAAGAAAAGTTAAGCTGCAAGGTAAATAATTTGTAACACCAAATGAAGTCTTTTGAAACTACAACTGAAAGCAACAGACATAGAGTTTAGGGGATTTGTTACCCACTCCCTTACTAGAAGTCCTAGGAAAAAGTTTTCAGAAAGAGAGGAGCTGTTCCAGTACCGAATACTTACTGATCAAAAAATCACCAGTTCGACCACCATGTGCTTCCCCATGGCATGAATAGCACCATGGGGAGCACAAGAGCGTCGTGCTGTTGATCTTTTGAAGTGATGTACTGCGGCTTGTGCGAAACTCGGTACATTGAGGTCACTTTGCATCCGTGCGGCCCGATTCTATAATATCTGGGTGTGACGACTCCATGGCCATGTGCATATTCCATTGCCATTGCCATGCATATTAAGTAAGAGTAAGTTTTTTTGAGAAACCTTGTTTTCTATAGAGGCTTACTCTGTTGTTATTTTCTTCAGACAATAACCTTACCTATGCTGCATATCGATATGCCAGCATGATAACGATCATAGCGTGAGGTGTGAAAAGCACAGAAGTTCCCGGGTTGTGCGATTCTATCGCCCTGATAATGAGGTCACTTCGCATACGCGGCTGACGATGAATTGCAATTGAGATTTACAGTGCTGTCGTGAGCATACGACACTATCATAGTGAGACTTCATGGGAGAGACTTAGTTTTTCGTCTAAGACTTAAGATAATCAACTTTTTCCAATTCTTCAATTCCTTGCAATTACTTCAATTTCTTTTTCAAGGCATCTATTAATCGTATACCTGACCAGAAAGCCGGTGAAATCGCTCACCATCTGTTCAATTTCTATAGCAGTGCCGATGCATGGCGCATTGTCGATCCAGAGGTAAAGTTTTTACATCTCCTCTCATTTTCCGCTGTTGGAAACTACCACAATTTCAGATGAAAGCAGTTATTGGAGATTTCCGCCACCGGGGATTGGGAGTTGCAGTGGTGTCAAATTTTGATGGTCGCCTAAAGAAAATACTTCGGGAGCTGGAACTCCTACCGTTGTTCGACATTGTAGTGGCTAGTGGAGAAGTTGGTGTCGAAAAGCCCGATCCGAGCATTTTCAAACTAGTTATGAAACATTATGGGCTTTCAAATGCTTCTGGATTGCTTCATGTAGGAGACAATTTCGAGAAGGACTATAAAGCAGTTAGGGATATCGGTGGGAATTCTGTCCTATTCGATCCATCCTCAAGCAATCGCGAAATTGTGAATGAACACAGAATAACATCATTCTCGGAACTCAAGGTTGAGTAGTTCTTCCAACAGAACCCTTTGTGTGTAATTCATTTACAAATATTCACTCGAAGAATTTCGGATATTCAGATATTGAGGCTTTATCTGCTATTCTGATAATACGCTACAAATGCCAACTCAGGAATGTCCCCAGTACTGTTATTGCCCTTCTTGAAGTAGCTCAATTTCTTTTTGTGGCGCCCACTAAAATCGTTTCCACTCATCTAGAAAAATGTCGTTGGTGATGGTGAACCTTGTCCAAGATAAAGATGAAATTTCGAAAAAAAAAGTCTGATATCGATGCGGTTTGTGTACTGCTTGATTGCTTTTTCCAAATGCTCCTGCTCATCTATCTCCCACAGAAGTCATTTCTAGTGAGCGAACCGCAGTAGCCTCTCTCAATAAATACAAGCCATAGTCTTCTGTCGGCCGATCAACTAACTGTAAGATTACGTATTGCTTGCCTCTAGTGTGCAGGCTTTCTGCACCTAGCAACCCTGCATATCCGCCCACTACAATGGCGCATAGTGCATTGACGTGGCTCGAATGAAAAGATGAAACTAATTTGAAATGCCCATTCCAATGTCCCAAATGACCTGATCCATTCATGCAATACCCGACCAGCCTCGTCGCCCGGTAGTGGAACACGCAGGGCAACAATTCAGCAGAAGGAAGTCAAATGTTTCATATTTTCGAACAAACAATTGAAAACAACTTGCAAAAGCTTTTAACGGTATTCTTCAACAAAACTACAACAAAACTAAAATGGATACTATAACAGCCATTTTCTCAATCTCTGCAATATGTCGTCATTTATAGCACATTTTAGAAGAAAACTAAAAAACAGCCTGAGACATGTTTCAAACAAACACTTTCCTACTTTTCTAGAACTTGCAGTGGAGCCATCGGACAAACTCCTGCGGTGCACTTAATATGAGGAACCGAATCTTTGAAAAACAATGTGCTAATTACCTCTTCTATACGTTCAATATTGTTGATGAGCTCCACTTCTAATTATATATACTAAGACCTATTAAAACAGCTTTTTAAACCAAGTTGGCCTCTCCTTTTCCATTTCAATTATCCTTTTTCCATTCAGCACTCCATCATCCACTACTTCATCATTGGAAAATCGTACCATAACCTGAAAAAAAAACCTTCAAATATTAAGAAGGCTTCTAACGAATCGAATTAGATAACATTGTTACGAAGAAGGCTTGCCTGTTTATCTTGTCGCTCTCCTTTGTATGGGTTGTATGCCATCATTTTCTGCTTGATTTCATTTGTCAACTCGTGGACCTTCAGAAATATTAGTATTAATGGTATTTTATTTTCTATTGACGCGTCAGTTTGAGCTGCGTTATTCCGTACGGAGCACACAAGGCCGCTAGTCTTTACCAAAGTTCAATCACTCGTTACAATTTCGACTTCTTCGATTACCTTCGGTCGGTTTTTAGAGAACTGATAATTTCGAAAAAAATGACTCTCGTCTACCACTATATCCCTTATCAGTCTAAACGCTCTGCAACTAAAGCAAAAAGCTATGCGAACCGAATCAAACTCCATGAATTGATATTGATCGGTCCATCTCGCAATAACTGTACAGTTTTTCTTCACACTACACCATCCCTCCGGAACTAGTTAAGGGTGTGAATTTCTGGGTAAACACACCCACATTCAATTACAGACATACTTAGCGGATCATTCATAGGAAACGACTGCCTCAATATTTTGTTACCTTTTCATAGCATTTTCCGCAGATAGTTGCTGACTGATGAAGAGATCCACAGGATGGGCAAGTCACCAAGTCGGTAGTGGGCTGCAGAAGCCGAGTGTACGAGAACTTTCGCGTATCTTTTATCGCTAAATGCAAAATATCGAAAACTTATTATTAGTAAAACCATAAAAAGAGCGACAAATATATTTTTACCAAAGAAAAGTCGACTATGTGGAACACAGGAACATGCAAAGCCTTAATAGTTGCGCAAAACCAATTCAATAAAAAAGCGCAGAGGGACAGAAACAGGAAAGTAACCTCGGTTGGCGGTGACAAATGGAGCAAACTAGGGGCGCAGCAACACGTACACCTCGCTGCAGTTTGAGGTACCGAGAAGAAGATGCAACTTTGAATTTGATTTATCGACTACTGAGGGTGCTACACAAGATATCATACTCATTTTCAAACAAAAGTCTATGTTGATGAATGATTTCCTTCTAACATGTGAGCTCTCTCATCACCCTTATAGGGTTCCGTTGCGAAAAACTTTACAAGAAAAAACAGAATCGCATACGTTTAGCAGTCCTTCGTTTGGGAACGCCCAGAAGTATCCGCATGTCTTCAACCATTTGCTTTATCCCGTATTCGCTTCTATTGGACATTCCTTGAGAGTGACATCCATTCAGCGCAACAGCAGGGGCAAGGGGAGGGAAGTGAGATCCAAGACCCATGGCTGTATCGAGTGCGTACTGCACCCGCTGCCATATACGCATCATCTAGAAAACACCCAAAGTCAAAGGAACGGGAAAGTAGAAGCGAAGTGGCAAGGATACTGAAAGCAGCCTCTCATAAATAAATTGAATATTGACCGTAAATTAACGGGATGGAAATGGTGACAACTTATAAAGGAATTATTTATTGTTATTGAGAACATCGAGCATGAAATCCGTTCTGCATAATAGTATACGAAACGTTTAGGACATATGCATAAATACACGCGTCAAAAGACTCAAATAGTCACACAGGAAATGACTTAGAAATCCTCGTCGTCTTCATCAGCCATCTCTTTCGCAAACTCCAACTCCTGAATAACTGATCTCTACTTGACTATATGAAAATACAACACCTTGAATTGCTTGAAATTGATCAGTCTGCCTGCAAATCAGTGGTGGAAACATGCCTGTTGCTCTCTTTCCCGTTGAGCTTCTATGCTCTCCACATCACACTTGTTTTTCGGTGGAAATCGGAGCGCTTTCACGGCTTGATTATGCAGCTCTAAGCAATACCTGTAAAGAAGCTTTTTTACAAACCGGAACTTTATCATCAGTGTTCTCCTATGATACGAACCTAATCCTACTGTCAAAATGCAATTGTGGCTCAGTTGTAGTGTAAACATTAACTGTTTCGGAACTCCTCATGAACCTAGCACCATCTTTTGTATCACATGTAATCACTGCATCAATTGCACCATCCGCTATAGCTTTCGCTACCTGGAAGAAAGAGAACCTTGAAACTTCAACTGTATAGGAACTTGGAAACTCCCAACACCTTTCACGGAAAATTTGTTAAATTGATGCTTACCATATACTCTGTCTCAACCTCATTGCTCATGCACAATTTCTTTGCTATGTCCTGAAAGAGAAGCTATTATCGGAAAACCGATGAAGCTTTTTGTGCACTGGTCACCTTGATCGTGATTCGAGAATAAGCCAGCGATATTTGTTTGACTGCAGTTTTGATGACATTTTGCCGAAGACGAACGATCAATGTAAGCGTTTCGTCTTTTTCGAACTAAAAATTCCCAGCAATGATTATGATAAACCACGCAGCGCTTGATCTTATGGAAACTCACGATGGGACCATGACGTTTCACCAAGTTGTTAAATTGCGCTAGATCCCCAGTTCGAACTGCTGAAAGGTACAAAAGGCTGAACCGATAAATTACTGATGAATGACAGGAAAAAGCAATCTTCAATAAAATTCCCAAAAGATAGGAAATGCTGCTATCTTCGAGCTTCCACCAATATTGTAATGAATGGATTTTTCGAAGGTAAGCCGAATTTGGACTTCTATTATTCAACTTTCGGCAGTAAAGCCTTCTTTATACATAATAATTGCGGTACCATCATCCAGAAAACAAAATTAAATATTCTGCATAGTTGTACCAGGAACAAAGAACGGGAAAATGAAGTGTTAATGAGAGGCTACTCTAAAGTGAAAGGTGAAAAATTCCTCCTACGCATTTGGGAGAAGTCTAAAAACCTAAGTCTAACACGTTTCGAGTCATGATGCGCTTTAGTTTTTCAATTGTTTTCAGTTCAACCTTCATCAAACACCGAACGAATTGGATACACTCTTGTGTAGAACACGCATATGACAGATGGATTGTTTTAGAATCCTGCCACAGAATGAAAAAAGTACGGATGAAGAGCAATATGACCAAGAACGCTTCGCTTCCAGATAAATCTCACGGTTCATAATTTTGAAGTGATCTTTTTGTCTTGCCAAATGTTTGAAAACGATTCAAATGTAAAGGATTCTTTTACCAAATGTTTCTGTCATACCTTACCGTTGATATGATATAAACTTTCACGATTGTAAATTTAGCATTTCTTCGAATTGGTGTATAAAGGGTCGCTGAGCTTTCGAAGCGAATTTTTTTACAACTACGATATACCTCATCACGCTGTCGTAGCCATATGCACAGATACACGCTAACCCACAAAAAAAAATTCCAAAATGATAGATTCGCAACTAGTGTACCGACAAAGAGTCAGCTTCATATTTGAAAAATCAACCAATGAAGTTACCTTGAGTCAATTCTAGGTACGGATGCAGACATTTTCTATAGATTGGTTGGCGGAAGATTGATCTTTCGGGTATCTCTCCCTTAAACACCGTGATAAGCCAGTTTGGCAGTGATCAAAGGCAAACAAATTCAGTAGATGAAATTAGAAAAAAGTAGAATGTAAGATGTACCTGAAGCAAACCAATGACAATGACCCATTTCTGCACATTCTGTTTAAAACCAATAGCGGCCTCCTGTGGTGCCTTGCGCATTGCCTTAAAAACTGTGTTCAAGGATATCAATAATGAAAATAAGGCAAAAACATCACATCAATTCGAGTTCTAAGCTCCAAGAATCTTTGCGCCAACAAAAGGAATATGCAAATAGAAACGTTGTAAGCAGAGCGCATCCAAGCTCGTTTCTAATGTCCATCCAGAAAAAGGGATCGATAATGAAATCTCTTTCTTCAAAAGGACAATGAAAACAAGCAAATGTTCCAACATCTCACCTGCAAAAAGTACCCTGCTGCAGCAGTGTAATCAAGCTGCAGAGCTTTTATGCGGCCTTGGTAGTACAAAAACCGAGCGAGATCATTGTTGCTAGCTCCTTCTGGGAACGTAACCTGGAGATTATCATATAATACAACGAGTAAATAAGCTTTTGGAGGTCCTGTTTATCATCAAAACTGGCTAGCAATTTAATTCAATGCAGCCCATGCACAGGCAATGTAATGTATCCTTAGAAAGTGGGCAAACATATTGCCTCTGTGTTAATTGCGACTGGACGACGGCATAACCGAAGCAGATGAACAGAGTATACGGGTAGATCTAGTCCTGGTCACTAGTTGGAGAGACTTTACCTAGCTAGAACACTAGTCGAGTCCAAGATGCACCAAAGACCAATACTCACATAAGTTACAATGTAAAGGCAGAGGCATAGAAGTTAGGTATAACTACTCATTGACTTTCATCCAAAAGGTTTGACGCTGGGAATTAGTAATGAGAACCATAATTCACCTTTGAAACAAGTTTCGCTGCAGATTGGAACTGCTTATTGATGAGGTAACAACGAAGAAGGGTGTATATGAGCACTGCTTGTGATTCTCGTTGATGACGAAGGGTTGCTGTACGCAACCGAGAGTTGAGGAAGCTAAAAGTTTATATTGAACGGTTAAAGTAGAAGTATGTACTACATAAAAATAAATATGTGAAGGTAAAAGAGTGTTGGTGGTATGTATTTTTTGAAATGAGCGGAAACAAATCTTTCCTCACCAGCCAAGTTCATGTAGCTTGTGCTGCCGCTCGTAGATTAGAGCAAGATAGAAAATAGCCTTTGCCACCATAGGATCAAGAGATCGTTTATCAAGTGCGTCAGCTAGAACAAACCATTAATTGCAGTTGTTTTGGAATGTGAAGTAGACATAGAACTTACCACGAGCAATCAACATCTCTGCACACTTCTTTGCATCGTCTAACCTATTTCCATCCACAAGATAAAGAAGAACAAGAAGGTGAATATAAAGTTCTGATTCGGCAGAAGGAGATGCCGTTTTGCGAGTTGGTCGAGGAGACCTTGAAGCAGAACAGTTTATTACTGAAGGTAAGGCTCTGCTACCAGTCGCATGGAGCGTAATAATTGTCATACAGCAGGGATAAAGAGATGAACTGGGTAGACGATCTTGATCAAACAATACGCCATTCTCCACATCCATACAAATCAGTGGGCAGAATTGCATAAAGTGTAAAATGAATGGTGCGTCTAGTGCAAAATAAATGGCAGCGGCGCCGTGTAAGAGACAGAGAACTTGCGTACAACCAAATGAAGATTCCTGCTTGATATGGTCGAAAGAATTCACCGAATCATACTTTAAAGAAAACATCAAGTACAGATTATGACCCCTCCCGGTATTACTCCGTAGAAGCTAACTGGTTCATTTTACACTCTTGTCGGGCGTAGGCAGACTTATATTGTTGAACGCCCGTTCTTTCACTTCTCCAAACATACACCAATAACTATCCAGGAAAATCACTTTGTAGAAGACGATAGCTGTGTTGAAGAAGGAGTAAGTTTTGTGTCCACTTCCATGGCCACAGGAGTGTTGGACGGCACCCATGCTAGGAGGGCATCCTTATGCAGTGATGGTGAAGTCAATTGGCTCGAAAGCAGGCGGTGCAAAACCTGAATTCAATACGAAAAATCGTATTCAAAACCGACAGAACGTCAAAGGCATAGAATGTGTTGGAGTTATGTAACAGATCACCAAAAAACATAAAGCTTATTAGTAAATACTGACCTCAGCATTACATTGCTTTCTTGTTTTATGCACCACTTGTAGTACGCGTCCCACAAAATGAACATCCCCCTTGTCCAGTAGAGCACAGTGTTCTTTGATGTCTATAGCAACAGATTTCCAGAGTAAAACAAATAGCAACTAAACAAGATTAGTGTTGAGAGTAATACCATGACAAAACCCACTTTCAACGGCAATTGCGTTCAGATCTTTGGGTGTTTCTTTCTCTTCCGCTTTTGCCGGTTCATCAACTTCCATTTTCTCCACAGGCGGAGCCGGATTTGCCATCGGGGCCATTCCTCCTTTACAAGACTCGATCAGACACGAAAACAAAGCGAATAAGACAGTGGGCGCAAATTCGACCAATTTCTATTGAGAATGGAGGGAAATAGAAATGAACTGCTTGTAGAGAAGCTTTATAACCAGTTAACAATGAAGTTGAGGTAAATACTTCTAATCAGCGCTAATGATGAGAATTCGTGTTGCTCCAATGCGAATTTGGACGAGTTTGCATTAACGAAAAAGACGGAACTCGCCCAGACGCCGCGCGCGAAGTAGTTTTTGACACGCTAGTTTTTCGACGTGTTCTGGAAAGATCTTTTGCATCGAGACTGGGTTTTTTGCACTACTGGTTTTTGAACTTCTGTCTTTTGCTTAGCAGTATCTGATATTCTGTGCTTTCTTCCCCGGAATGAACTACACCTGATAAATATTCGGTAGTTGTGGTGTGACCAACTATATTCAACTCGTGCATTGAGTTGCTTTCTTCGTGAAGACCGAATTCTTTCGCGAACTTTCTAACGGTGATTGTACGAACTCGACTTGTTTTAACTGCTTCGAGCGAATAAATATTGACGTCTTTTCCGATAGCGTTTGAACTATTGTTTACAAAAATGTCGACAGTGTAGTGGGTAGGCACGTGCCCATGGACCATTAGTGTGAGTTTAACCCCTTCCGAGCAAATGTCGTAGAAAACCCAGCTTTTTTGTGAGAAAGCAATCAGCCTGCAGGCGTTTTCTAGCCGACGCGACGTGATCATCTCGCCACGTTGTACGAGTCACTCTATGCTCAGCCGCAGAAAAACCATGCACCTTCTGCAACGCCGGGTGGTCCCACCACGAAACAAATTCAAATTTCTCGAATTCTCGGCGCTCCTTTAAAAGTCTGCAGCACTGCGTGACGTCATCATTTGGCCACTATCGTTTGCGGCTCTGAAGTAGCTCCATCTCCGTCCTTGGTGATGCCTTGAACCAGTTCTTCCTATTTGACCGTTTCACCTATCTTGGGATACGAGTGTTCAGGTCGATTCGTGCATTCAGTTGTACTTGTTTCTCCGTATTTGGCATCGCTATCGCTTTGTTTACATCATTTCTTGTTTACTCTATGTTTCTTCGGGCTGTTGCAAATTCTCTATCAGGAAGTGAACTTATCTCTCTATTAAATGACACTCTCGCAGTGCTTTGCCCTACAAATCTAAATTGTTATTCAGGGAGTTTGTTCCACTTTACCACGAGGAGGGACTGAAAGGGAAAGAAAGACTTAGTTCTTGATCTGACGTTTGGTCAGTCATCGTTTTAGGATGGGTCCATGCCTCGGCATCCGCTGTCATCTTAATGAACTCTCGAATTTCTAATAAGCCTGGATAATGTCTCGAGGCGTCAGACGATGTAAAATTCAGTGTTTTATGACCCAGACAAATCCGCTTATTTTTGAATGATCTCGCAAGAATGGAGGCTGGGCTCCTTGGGTGGTGTCTTGTCGGGTATTTGATCCGCGGATCTGGTCTAGGTGGTAGCTGCGTCTCTCGACCTTGCATGCATTGCTTTTAATGCTCTGATGAGAAGACTAGGCTACGATTGCAGTTTGGGGTGGCCAAATCTCTGCTCGAACTTCTGAAAAACACGGTTTTTCACATTTCGAATGAAATATTTTTAGCGATCAGCCGTAGGTAGCGTCACTTGCTGCAGCGAAATTTGTTGTTGTGTCTGTCACCTGTTCATTCAAATGCGAGTTGGAACTCGGTGTCGCAGGAGTTTAAGCTTCATTTCCAGTTAGTTGATTCAGTACTAGTCGTGAGGGATTCCTCGTTCCGTGGGACTTGATTTAAGCCTTGTTGAGGTCGTCTTCAGTTTCTTGTTCCTTTTGTACCTCATGGTGATTCCACCGAAGTTTTTCTTCAGTATTTGTGAAAAGAATTTTTAGAGAGCATATTGAAGTAAGCTTGCATCTAATGCGATTACGTATCATTTCGTTGAAAGGGTTAGGTTGGGCTGTTTTGGGTGGCGTTAGGTCGGGAATTGTAATAATCAAATATAACCAAATGTTAATCACATGTAACCTTTTTAAACCTTTTTGTTGTAATTGGACCGTAGAAGTTCCAAATATTGCGATCGCTTGTGGTCCGTCTGCGGACTATTTGCAAACAGTGGTGATTCATCCACTCTAGGCCGTTGTTACTCACTGGCAAGGTTAACTAGTTTGCCTACAACATGACGTAGAACCAGTGAACAAAAGCTGCTGCTATTTTTTGCAACTGTTATGTTTTATCATTAACAAGACATCAGGACGCTAACTCCCTTTGGGATATGCAGATACGAAGGTCTTCAGCAACTGCTGGTGTGAAACTGTCAAGAACTGTGGCATGACGACAGTACGGACATCTGGTTTTTTCTTTTCTCTGCGTCTCTGCCGTTTGCGGGAGGAAAAGGGCGGAGAGGCATAGGTGGAGACATTACGAAATTGGAAACACGATTTTCTTTCACCTTCAGAAGAAGCCCGTTATCTCAGTGCTTCGGATGACTGTCTTTTCTTCTTCGCAACTCCTTCGCTTTGCAGTGCACCGCTGCAGAACTTGGCAAGATTCTTCTAGTTTTTGGAGCGCCGTCCACCGTCAGCGCTCTGTCTTCGTTGATTTTGCACACAATATAGACATCCACATGCTGAGGTCTGATCTGGTTGACGTTTCGGTTAGTGTAACACTAACACGGCGTGTTTTGGTCTGGTTATGTCCCACAGTGGGCTAGTGTCGTCCCTTACTGCCCTTTGTTGTAATGTTTTCAAGTGAGCTTTGGTTTGTTTAAATAGTTGGAAGTGTTATGTTTTCGAAACTTCGTACACAAGGGCAATTCTGGTCACGATATGATGAACAGCTAACAAAGTGTTCGTGCTTCTGACTTATTGGGTCCACTTATAATGGTTGAATGTAATCTTTCATGTCATCAACCATTTGCCGTGCAAGATTGTTCTTTTATCCAAAACCTGCGTCCATTCGTTACTATGCGACACATCGCTCTCAAAAGGCAGGCTCGCCACTGCTTAGTCAGTTCTTATTTGCTGCCTAGGATTCCAGAATGGACCTTCTGATCATTTATGGACTTCTCAGTTTGCATTGGAACTGTCTCACTCGCTTGGATTTTAATTGCTTCGAGCTGTTATAAAAATATGAGAAGGCGAGACTGAGAGAAATGTGATAAGATGGAATCCTTGTTAACATCCTACCAATCAGGCTTTCAACTGCTCAACCTGTTTTTTGTTTGTTCTTAATCGTTCAGTTTTACTTAACTCGGAAGTTGCTTCAGTAGGGGGAGTACAATTGCACATAAACTTGGTTTTGTTTCCGGTGTCGATCTTCAGCGATCATGTCTGTTGTCGGCTTCGACATTGGTAATTTGAACTGTTACATCGGCATCGCTCGTCAGGGTGGTATCGAAGTAATCACCAATGACTACTCGCTGCATGCAACCCCGTGAGTTTGCCTAATTCAGTATTTATTTTGTTATGAACATGTTTCCATTTTTCAGGACTTGCGTTTCATTTACGCCGAAAAGCAGATCAATGGGTGTAGCTGCTCGTCAATCAGTGAACACGAACTTTAAAAACACGATCATAAATTTCAAGCATATGATAGGAAGAAAGTTCAGTGATGCCATCACCCAGAAGTTTATACCATTCGTCCCTTGCGAAACAGTGCAATTACCGAATGATGACGTCGGCTTCAAGGTTAGTTGCATAAAAAATGCCTTAATTAAATACAGCGCTCCGGTCAGAAGAAGGAACACACTAGTTTTGCTCATTCTGATTCTAGGGGAGGGAATGGAGGGGTGGGGGATATCATTGGTTTCTGGATGTAGCTGAACTTTGCCATCGAAGCTGTTCAAACTACCTCATAGCATTGACAGGGGTCGATGTCAGTAAAGATTTCCAATTTTTCCAGACACTGATCTCTTCTGGTTCCNCCTGCTAAGTGCGCCAGACAGAGATTGACACACCAGGTCGTCTACACATCGTATCTTAACTGGATAGTTTTATCGTTCAAGAATCCTTCATCTATAACGTCTAGGACAACCTTGTTTGGCCGTTGAAAATGGACATAAAAGGTCTCCACACCATGAAGCAACCTTGTTTGGCTTGTCTTCGGAGATAGCATTTACTGTCATCTAGCCGTTGCTGTATCCGACCATTCGAGTATTTGAATTAGCAACACGTGCCATCAATGTATGCATGACAAACTGCATAGCTTGTGTAGTTGGAATTCGAAATTTAGCGTCTTACTGTGGAACTCACACTCTATTTCCTTTAGCTCAAAAGTCTGACTTTCCCTTTACTTTCAGAGGTCTTTGAAACTTTGCCACCGTTGGCTGCTCATATAACTTCTGGACATTAAAACTGAATGGGCTGGTGACCCACTCTACATGGCTTTCTGACCAACAAGTTCCGCCGTTACCACTGAGAAAATTGTTTGTTACTTAAGTTTTGAAAAGAGCGAAATAGATAGATTAGAGACACTGTTCGATACCAAGCATAAGTGTTGCGCATTGCCACCTCACTTATTTCGACGACGGTGTCATAGGTGTGTGAGTGGAGGATGATTTCATTGCGGTATTGGGCAAGCTTCCTCGTACACTCAACTGTCGTCTGGCCCAGCAGAAATGGAAACCAGAAAGAGCTTGCTTAACTGTGAGCTTCCCTTTACTACGCTGTACGAAACAGTCCTAGACACGAGTAATGACTGGAATGCCCAAATATTTAATGGATCGGTTCTTGTTTGAAATTATAGTTTTCCCGTTTTGGGCGGTTTGACTATTGGGCAGGTAAGTAGCGCCCTTTCTGGATTTTCCCCAAAGACAGCTCTTCTGAGCAACTCAGTTTGCGCACCGAGGCATGCCAGTCATTGGACAGCAATAGTCAGAAAGTAATCGTGGATTAACATTCAAATGTTGCTAGAAAGAGCACACGAGTTAACAGCCTGAATAACTTTCTTCCAACTCTCCGTCAATAGAGCAACGCCGCAGTGCCGACATTCCGACTATTTCAAATTCAAGGAAAAGGTCAATACGTCGCACAGGCTCTATATGTTTTCATACGACCAGGAACGGTAGTACGGCGGCACTAGATTTTGAATGATAAGTAAATGTCAAGTGCTGTCGAGCTTTTTCCACGAGTTTCGATGAGTCAGTCTTGTACCACGAGCTTGAACGCGGTTTTACGACAGGATGACATTTCGATATTGTCGAATAGCATGGCTGCACCATTCCAAATGTTTGGAGCAGGATTTGGCACTATTGATCTGACCTTACTGTCGCACGTACCATATTTCGAAAGATCCCCATGGAAGTTGACGCCTAAAGCAAAAGATGGTGAATGATGAATTTAAGCGAGTCGTATTACTGAGACCCTTTTTGGGTTGTGCAGAAGTACCAAAAAACCTGGCCGGCACGCGAACTTGGGTTAAAACCTACTAAATACCAGCCCATGCCTTTTTCTTTATCTATTGACGATGCTGAAAAACTGCATTAGATTGTAATCATGGCACTACCCTGCCATGTTTGCAAGCTGTGTCACGACTAATCTCCTCGAAAATGAGGGGTGATGAATCTCACATTATATAAATATCGTCTTATTGCCGAATTACCTCTATTCGTAAGTTGCAGGTTAGCTACCAAGGACGAGAAGCGATCTTCACGCCGGAGCAAGTACTCTCTGCTCTACTTACCAAACTGAGGGACATAATTGAAAGTCAGTTGAAAGATGTAAAGAAAGTCACTGATTGTGTTGTGACGGTATGTCTTTTCAAATTAATGCATATATTCATTTATCTCAAATTGGTTTTTATTCAATTCTCAGGTACCATCTTATTTCACTGACGTGCAGCGACGGGCTACTCAAGCAGCCATTCAATCTGCCAATCTGAATGCGTTACGAGTAATGAATGAGAACACCGCAATTGCACTTGCATATGGTGGGCTTACATTGAAGGGCAAATTACAAGCACTCCATTCTGATGTGCTTTCTATCATCCACGTTTTGTTTAAGGTATTTACAAACAAGATTTACCCGAAGAGTCGGCTCGTGCACGGCATGTAGTCTTTTTGGATGTTGGTCACACATCCACTCAGGCCAGTCTGGTAGCCTTTAATAAGGGCAAGCTCCAGGCAAGTTTAGGATATTTCTTCTTCTTTATTTCATTAGCTGGACTTTTTTACTTTGACGCTCTATTTTTTCATTCGCTCCCGTTAGCAGGAAAAATGGGAAAAATTGCATTGTACAGTAGCGTCATGCAACATTTCTCTTTTTACTTACCTTCGTTTTACTCACAACGCGTGAGACGTAAGTTATCTTTACGTGCAATCCGTCAGTTCCTTGTCGTTCTACAGCTTCTACCTCAAAGGTTTGCACGTTCTTCTAAAAGTCGCTAATCGTTTGCGTCTGATTGGTGTGGCCATCAGACGCCTCTAAATATCGGAAAAGGTGAATAATTATGCGCAGGGTTGACGGAAAGGGTGGAAATAGCCACATTGAGAGGGAGTAAGTTGGACTAGCGGTATTGCTTAAGGAAATGCATAGCAAAACTTTTATCAAAGTCAACGTGAAGGTGATTAGATGCACATTTGGAGCGGGACGAGTTCTAGTATGGACGGAGTTTGTGCGACGATCGGTAATTCGATTTCGGAATGGGCCGTAAATTCAGAGGAAATTGGCGGTGGTTAGAAAAACTGTAAATGAGTAAAGTGTTGTCAATGAAGTGAGCCCACTGTGTTATAAAATTAAGTATTTCAATTTTTCAAGTTCGAACTCCAATGTACCATGTTCTTTTGCTGAATATTTTCTATATGCTGCTCGAAGACTAACAGTTGCTTTATAGATGCTCGGTACCACCTATGACCTTAATGTTGGTGGTCTCTGGTTAGACGATTTAATCAGAGATCGTTTCCGTCAAATGTTCAAACAAACTTATGGTGAGGTTCTAAAGTCTTTGGAAATTTTTCAGAAAAAAAAGAACGCGGTATCAATATAACATGTTTAAAGGTGGAAGAATGAAAAATGAGTGTGGTTCCTAGGTATTGATGCGAAAGAATCACCTCGAGCCTGGCTTCGTCTCCTCGACGAGTGTGAAAAGTTAAAAAAGCAGATGTCGGCGAATCAAACTCCTATTCCTCTCAATATTGAATGTTTCCTTCATGACAAAGACGTGTCGGGTAAAATGCAAAGGTAAGTACCTTTTCTCTTCCTGTGCAACCTTGAGACCGGTCTTATGAAGCGAGTTTTTAGGGCTGAATTTGAAGAGCTCGCTGCTCCACTGTTTGAAAAAATCCGTCAGCTGCTTTTGAGGCTCCTCCAAGAAACTGGAGTGAAAGTGGGACCTGTTCTGGAAGTTCCTATTTATTTTTGGTAATTAATCTGTGGTTATAGAAGGAGGATGTCGACGAGATCGAGATGGTTGGTGGTTCGTCGCGTATACCTATAATTCGCCGCATTGTGCAGGATGTATTCAACAAAGATCCTAGGACAACAATGAACCTCGACGAGGCTGTTGCCAGAGGTGGGTTCTTTCTTAGGTTGGGGGAGCCGGCACTCAGTCTCTAGATCTGTCAGTGCCTTTCACTGTTCTCGTGCATGGCTATATGGTTGGCAGTTCCCTTCATTCTTGTCGCATACTTTAATTGTGGCGATTCAGGTGCGGCAATGCAGTGTGCTATTCTTTCACCGGCATTCCGTGTTCGTGAATTCTCCATTAAAGATTCTCAGCCATATCGTATCAAGATTACATGGTCCGGCGGGGCTTCAGAAAGCGGGTAAGTGTTCTTACTCACTGCCTTTTGTGTTGTGGTAAACTATATCTTTGCAGCGAGTCCGACGTTTTTGCGGAGCGGGACGAGTTTCCATTCTCCAAAATGGTCTCCTTATATCGATCTGATGCATTCCAAGTTGACGCTCGATATGCATTGCCTAATACTGTTCCACACACAACATCTGCTGTCGGTAAAGTTTTTATTGAAGGCTTCTTAAGCGGACTTATAACCGTTATTTTATCATGGGGTATTATAAGTATATTAGTATTCAAATCACTCCTATTAAATTTTTCAGATGAAGTGAGTTCATTTAACTTTGAAAAGTGATATGCGTGCTTCTATAGACAAAGCATACACTGAATTCCGGACGTTTTAGTTAATGGGAAAATAAATTCGAAAATCCTGAAAGTGTGAAAGTCGAAATTTTTACAGGTTCATGGCGTATTACTGGAGTGACACCAAGTGCTGATGGTCAGCCTCGTAAAGTGAAAATAAAGGTGGTTTCATAAATAATTTTAACCTTTACTTTTAACATAGTAGGCTCGACGTTCCATTTTTTCCGATATTTTGTAAATCTCACATTTCACCAGTAACATGGTTCTGATGCAGAATGAATGAAGGTTGAGTAAGGTTTTGCATTTAGGTTCGAATAAATCCAAATGGTATTTTCACGATCTGTTCGGCAACTATGTATGATACGCAGATCGTTGAGGTATTAGCGTTACTGATTGAGTTAGAAAAATTGGAAAAAAATCCTTTATTTAAGGAGTCTCCGCCACAACAAGAACAACCAATGGAACAGGATGGAGAGTCCCAACCACCTCCTGCGGAGCAACCCGCACCCGGCGCTCCCACGGATTCCACTGCACCCCCACCCAAGCCTGAAGGTCCTCCAAAGCCGAAAACTAAGACCATCACTACGGAATTGGCGGTTGAGGAGCGTCTGCCAGTTGTCTACGATGTTCAAAAATATACCGACATTGAGGTTAGTTTAAACTTTTAGTAGGGAACCGTCTCTGCGTTGCTTTATTTTACTAACATTTTGTAGCTGGCAATGCAAGCAGCCGATCTTCATGAGAAACAGAAAGCCGATGCCAAGAACGCTGTAGAGGAATACGTGTATGAAATGCGCGACAAGCTGTCGGATGCTTTTGCTGAGTTTGTCACCGAAGCGGTGAGATCTTTTTTGTCGGAACGGTGAATTGTTTATATGTTGTACAAAATTATTGTTATATCCGATGTAGGATGCTGAAGCCTTCCGGGCCCAGCTGACCAAAACAGAAGATTGGCTATATGACGAGGGCGAAGACACCGAGAAGCCGGTAAGACACAGTGTCTCGTCAGTGCGACTTTTGAATTTGATCACATGTTGGTCATAGGTTTACGAGCAACGCCTTAGTGAGCTGAAGAAGTACGGAGACCCCATTGTTGAGCGCTTTAGAGAGGCCGAAGCCAGAAAGGTTCCATATTTAACTTAATTTCTAGATAAGATGAGTGTTTTGTTTATTTGTTGATTTCCAGCCAGCTTTTGACGCCTTTGATACTGCCATTATTCGTGCTCGTAAGGCTTATGAAGATTACGTGGCTGGTGGGGAAGCGCACGCACATATTGACAGTGCCGATATGGAAAAGGTTAGTGTTGTAGCAGTGACTATTGGTGAAAAGATTGACGAAATGAGTGCTAGCCATTCCTCCTAGGTGATAAACGCTATCGAGGAGAAAAAGCGTTGGTTAGATGAAGCTCGACAGAAGCAGGAACGAAAGGCAAAAACTGAACCACCTGTAGTTTTTGCATATGAGATCGCCCAGAAACAACAGGTATGTTTTTAGCAGCCTTTTTCAGGGTAATAAAATGTGTAAATGACGCGATTCTTTTCTACTTTATATATTTGTGCTGTTCCCATCTCATAGGTATGGTGTTGCGCTACCCTATTTGGCCGAAGTGTTAATTTTCCTCAGTCCGGGCTTGGCTGAGCTTTTGTCTCAATGAAAGAATCTTTTGCACCTTTAGGCATTCGAAGCAGTTGTACTACCAATCTTGAACAAAAAGAAGCCGGCACCGCCTCCAAAGAAGAAGGAACAAAAGGAACAAAAACCGGCAGAGCCTCCTGTGAATGGTAATCCGGCTGGAGATAACCAGGCACCGCCCCCACCGCAACCAGGGGAAATGGAAGTCGACTAATTCACTACTCTTCAGCCAGGCTATTTGTGCATCGCGAAATGATTTGCTTGTACTGGCTTTGCCCTTCCTGATCATCTCAAATAGATTGTGAACGCATGATTTTTTGTTTTTAATTATGAAACCCTACATGCAATTCGTGTAGGCAGCACTGTATATGCGTAGAGATTTCATTGTTATCTTGTAGAATTCGGTTTTTGAATCATTCCTTATTGAGTGGCAATTGAAGATTAGGGATGTCATGTGCATTTGTGAATGTGGTGCAGTGAGCACGCATCGTTCTGCGAGTGTGCGAGCTGCATTACAATTTTCATTTGCAAATGCAGAAGGGGTCCGACGGTTTTTAGTAGAATGTGGTATGTGTCTCAGCTATTCAGTGCTACCTCATTTTCACTACTTTACCACAGTGTGGTCTATTATTCCATGCGTAGTTGTGCCGGTTAAATGCTGACGTCATCGCTTTGTTTAGATGACGCCAAGCAACTTTGTTGAGTAGATTTCTTTTGAACATAGACTATTAATAATTATCTGTTTAGCTTGAATAAATAATTCATTGATACAATGAGGGCACTATGGAAACACATGAGGGACAAAGAAAATGGGCACATGAATGAACAAAAAGTCACGAGTTGTTGCTGCACCACAGGCCTTCACGTTCCATCTGAAATGCTTTTAGATTTTGTAAATTAATGCAGTTGGAGATTCTCATTTTTCATTTGAAAGAAAGGCAATCGTTGATCATGAGTCTACAGCCTAAACTCAGACTAAACAGGCTAGCTTTGACAGCTACAATACATGAGCGTTCCGTAGGAAAACGAGAATTGGCATCTGATTGTCATTTTTTATCGAAAGGCATAGTCTCAGTTCTCAAACCTAGCGTGGGTTCGGCAAGAGATTTGTTAATTTCAATTTTCGTATGTAACCTACTATCGAGGTTCCGGTAGATTGGTTCTTTATACTATGCTACGGACCTTCACTTATGAAGAAGAGGCGGGCTAAACTGGAGAAAGACTCTGAACCCATGACCCTATCTCAAGTGCACAGCTTCTTTTAGAACATTTCGACACAAATAAAGATAACTTCAGCGCTGATGGCTGCCTATCTTTAGTCAGGGACCACGAAACTGTAGAAAATACACATATATTTCTTGTCGCCATAGATTATGTTTTGTGCATTATAGTGAACTAAAAGTTGAAGAAACAAGTCAAAGAAGTGGACTGGCAAGTGGCGCACTTCACACACACACATGGTTACGGGTTCGAATCCCGAATCGATATCCGGCCAGGCCAGCCGAATCTCCCATCCTCTAGTGACGGTTGCTTGGCTTCAGATTCGTCTGCGAGGATAAAAGCACTGACTCGTACATCGGGATTGATTAACACCCCGAGACTTTCTTATTAGAATACAGTGAGTGGGACTCAGAACTTATAAGCTAACCCAATAGGCTGAATTCTGCAGAAGACCTATTAGAGCCGTTTCATACAATCGATGACCTTTGATTCCTGATTAGCGTGTCTTCAAGGTCAAAAAGGTTTTTGTGCGGGAAAAGGTAGCTAGCATTCGCATCCAACGCATCCAACCTAATGCAGAGCCCCATAAATATGGCGACAATTCGCTTAACAACCCCAAAAATAAACCTTTCAAAAGAGTTATCGTCGCTATACTCCAATCCAGAAATGACTGGCTTCACCAAATGTTAATACCAAAAGTGCTCAAAATAAACAAATAAGATAGGCAAAACGATACTCTTTTTTTTTAACGAAAAGTGACGGATTTCTAGAGACAGCTGGTAGCCATTTTGGTTGTAAAATGAATGTCAAAAAATGAATCAGAGCAGTTTGTGGCTAATTTTACCACTGATGCGCTGTCTAAAAAAGCAAGTACCAATTTTGAAGTTGGAATGAGCGAAGTTTATAAAGAAGCCACTATTTGATCAATAGGAAGGCAATAAAACCATACGGCATTCAAATAAAGTTTTTAATGCCGACATGTGCTGCACAAAATTCCGGGAATGCAGGTATGAAAACGGGTTAGAGGCACTTTGAGTTCCAATTTCGTCAGGAATCATTAAAGAATAAAGAAACCTGTCGCTTCTGAGTTTGAGAGAAGTCATTGAGAATATCGAAAGCTTCACAGATATCCGACGGTGTTTTCTCAGAAAGAAGTTTGTTGAGGTGCGAGAAAACGAGGCGCATGAGATTCGGACATTCGAAATAGTCAGCAACCTGGAATCGCGGTGATCCTTGGGATTACATTCGCACATTGCATAAAATGTTCCAAGACTAGACTCGCAAAAACAGCAAGCTCATCGAGCACCTTTAAAAGGCTGCAAAGCGATGATGGGGAAAGCGCTTGAAGATCCTTACGTTTCTTCAACATTGAAAGACCAAATAGAAACTGGAAATTCTAAGTAATTAAAAAGTTCTGAAATACATTATACTCCCTCTATTGACATACGTTTTCAAACTCGTCTGCATCAAAAGGAACCCTGATCGGAGCGAGATCTTTTGTAGGAAATCCATCCGTTGATAGCAGATTACTGTCTAAAGCGAATATGACGTTAATTAAACAGCGTATAAAACAATCGTCTGAGAACTCACGTGCATGCATTCTGAGTAGAACCTCTGACTCCGTAAGAATGCTTACAGCTACATCAAACAAAGTTCGTGATGCCTGAAAGAGTGACATTGTAAATTATTAAAAATGGGAAAAAATAAGATTAACATTTGGCAAATGCTCGTTCCTTTTGAAAGATTTAATCTTGGCTATGCTGACCAAAAGAAAAAAAGAAAAGCACAAATGGAAAAATAGTGAAATGAAATAGTAAAATAGCGAACAACTATTGGAACAGAGTAGAAAACTAATTATTACTAAGAGTTGACTACCCTTTTAGAAGTTATTTACGATACACTGAATGGATAGAGCTACAGCAACGAAGCATTTTCCACCGAGCTGTCCTTTTTCTGCCTTTTCAGTGCTTTCGAACAGTTTTTACGGAAGTGAAAACACTGCGGAAGCTTTTCAAAAGTCACATGTCATATTTTGAAACACAGCAAAACTTTATGCCTAATCATACATTGAAAAATACTATGAAATGATAAGATCGGGACTGAACGAATCCACGTGAAACTTAGCTTGAGAAGAGCAGGGGATTACCTCAAAACGAAGGTACTGCATCCCTGACTTTGCAAGCTGCTCTTTGTTCTCATGAGCTTCCTCCAATGAATGATAGATATAGAAGACTGGTACATCTGGCAGAATACAAACACTTTACACCTCCAATACAACTTCAAATTCGTGAACAATTGGTTTCTGGCTTAAATATTTAGACCAGATTTTTGAGATTTCATGGCCAAATATGGCTGAAAAATCCTCTTTTGTAAAAGAAAAAAACATATTTTCCTAAGTACAGGCATTTACCTTAGTGCCAAACTAATAGACATCAACGTACATGTTTCCCCTCCCACTTTCTTATATTCATCAATTACAGACCCACGTATCTCCGTTTCGTCCAATAAAATTTTAACATCACATAACATTCAACAAAGAATATTTATGCTATGAAAAGCAGAGTTTCTGACAAGTCTTCCCTTAACTTAAATTTACACAACATTTTTAATCTCGAAAATTGCCTCTCATGCCTGTCGAACTCAACAAAACAAGAGATATTCCAGTCAACGTTGAACAGAAGGTGACACTTCCCAGTCAACAACAGGTTCAGCGACATCTGTTTACGCGCCTACATAAAATGCCCTTTGCGATAACAACTAGGTACTACTCAATTAAATTCAACAGCAAAAAAAAACATCAGGGATTTTCTCTCCGGCGAGAAAGTTCCCGCTTGATTTCAGCGGAGGAAAATTGCGAGCAGAAAAATAATGTCGCCTGGATCCATTTAAAAGCATACTTAATGGAAACTTCATGGACATACCTTGCTTATCCGTGTTTACTTTGGATTCAGACATTGTTAGGAAAGCAAGTTCAATAGGCCAGAAGAGGAGAACTGAAAAACACGGTGAAAAGAAGACTGTTGAAAATCCAAATATTACAAGCCGGAGTGTAATTTGTTTGCTAAGCTCATAGCTCAAGCCAAGAGCATAGTTTCGGCACACCTTGGCTGGCACGAACCAACCCATCTTGAATGAGTTTGAATGTAAAGTACCGGAGCGCTAGTACTTTCGTCCATACACATAGGTCGAGTGCCCAGCAGGGGCCTCCCGCTACCTCACAAAGCTAGGAACAAGCATGTGAGATGTACATTGTCTTGAGTATACAAAAAGTTAACGGGATACATCTCGACCCCTGGATTCAGGCCCAGTTCGGGATTACAGTACCTGATAAGTCTTTAAATCCCGCAAAAGTAGTCGTCAAAAACCCTCCACAACATATTTCAGCTTGCAATTTTATCAGCGTATAGCTGATAAAATTGCAAGCGGAAATATGTCGATGGGTTTGTGACGACTACACAGATCTTGGAACCTACCTGTCTACAAGCAAATAAACAGATCTCACTTTACTGTTTGACCTGCTTAGGCTACTTGTAAGAAAAAAGTGTTGGCTGTGGCTGTAGGAAGAAATTTAGTGGAAAGGGGGTATCGGTTTTGCGTCCTTGTCTGCGCCCTCTCAGAGAAATAGTATCCCACTGGCCAACTCCCCTTCCATTCAAACTTTTGGTGTAAATTTAACGATTCCTTAACCGCAGTGCCCCTCCACTCCTAGGACTTAAGCCGAGCACTCGAACTCGCCTAGTTCAGAAGCGTTCCGAAGCGCCACTAGAGATCCTAAAAGCCGACGCGTTATCCTTCTCTGGCTCTAGCAGTTAGCGTTAGAGACGCAGAGGACGGTATAGCTTCCGACTGGATCCTTTCAAGATTTCAATTCAATGGCGTGCGTTATTTAAACTGACGACCAACCGGGTTGTTGACCACGTGTTGACAACGCTGGACACCGGTCGATACTGCTCACGTGGCCTTGAACACAATGTGTCCCACATTGCCAACACG